AAAGAAATTGTTGTTTAGGAAAATAATTGTGTATGCTGACTGAATGTTATCGAGAAATGTCGAAATTAATCACAAACTACCTGTTTCGTTAGTAATGACTACTAGAACTGTTTGCATTTCCATCTAACATTTGCGGGCGGAAACTAAGTTAAGGTCCTAATACTTGTCACTACTGAGAACTTTGGAGAATGGTCGATACCTGAGTATGAGTTTCCGCTCATGGGATCTGTATGAATTTTCTCTGCTGCAAAGCACGACCAAATGTTTGTGGATCATCAAAACAATTTGGAAAAACCGCGATTAGTCGAAACAGACTAGTCGAAAAAATGTCATGTCGGAAAATATAACTCAATTCGACAACTACAATTTGATCAACGTAAAGATCTATCTTAATTCAGAGTGTTATCCATACGATGACATAAATTTGAATTTTGTAAAAAAAAAATATGCAATACTTTATGATATGTATAGCCGTTTCCGCAGATCGTATTATGGATATAACAGTGCTGATATATGGTTAACAACTATTGACTTTTTGGAGCAAGGTCCTTTCGTGGTTATCGATTGTTCGCGTCAAAACGAATCTGTCAAGAGTGCCACTGTAGATGTGTGGATAGAATTTGAGTGTAGAGAGAATATATCAGCGAATACTACCGCATACTGTCTGATCCTGCATCATGTAGTTGAATACAGCCCACTAACCAACTTAGTATGCAAAATCAACTAACATTGGAAAGTATGTATGAGAAAAGAATAATAGAAAACATCAAAAGGCTATACACAACATCTCTTTCCCGAACGTATCGAAGAATACTTCGCTATGATTATACCAATGTTTGTGGACTTGTAAAGATTCATCGTTGGAAAGAGATTCATTGTAAAGGAAGTAGCGATACTTAGGAATGGATCTGTTCTCTCCCATTATATCTTTACTAGTCCCATACCATGGCATCTTCTTACAAAATCCGACAAATCAAAAACATACTGGCTGATGGCTAATCATTATGGACTACGATGGGATGACGGGATCGTTGCATACAGCAGAGCCAAGCATTTGATTACGACAGCTGTGGTTGGTAAATCATGCGATATGGAACATGAAGACATTTCCCCTCCTCCCCACTCGTATACGTAAAGGGGTGTGAAAAGTGAGAATGGTTGGCGAATTTTCTGGATGACAATGTAAAAAGTAATCTGATCATCGAGACCTTGGATGCGGATTACGAGGACATAGTTTCCTTGGACAAACTGGATGCAACCAATATTTTACGATGAAATAATCATATTAAGCATTGTGCTTTACAGAATGTATTAAAAATATTCAATTGGTGGTCTCAGTGCCGGAGAGAGTTGTAAACCTTTATTATACAAAATAAATATTTTTAAAAATTTATTTATGTCTCTTCACTCTTTTATTTCCTTTTCCCAACCAAATCTTTGAGAAAGTATCTACGTAGGTATATCGTATACGATAGCTCGAAAGCATACGATAGTGTATGTTTAAAGATAAATTTTTATCGAGGCGCATAGTTTCGGAGAGTAAACTCTGCTACTACCTGAAAAGATTTGTCCTCCTCAAAAGGTCTCGAACTTTTTGGAATATTCAAAAATATTCTCGAAGACGACGCGTGGACGGATGGCCAGAGTGGGGAAAAAGCCGCGAATATTCTAAAAGGTGGGTGCGGCCCGCTCGCGAACCGCTGCGAATAGGAAGGGGGAAGGGCCGTAAACGCGTTGAAAAGCAGAAAGGGGAGGATCGCAGAGTAAATAAAATGATCAATTATGTCGATATAAATTATATTAATAAAAAATATGTAGAAAGATATGTCGATAAAAACAGATCGCAGGGTCGATAAAAATTACCAATTATCTCGGTAAATAAAATTAAATATGCCGGTAAAAAATACAGGTAAAAATATGCCGGTAAAAAATATGCCAGTAAAAAAATATGTAACCGCGATTCGTTGCGGATTTGAATCGCTTGTCGGATCGGGTTCGTGATAGGCGGAATAATTGAGAAACAGTGTTTTAAGAAAATAATAATGAATAATATATTTAAAATCCTAAGCTGATGATAATGACAGTATATATATCGAACAATACGTGTCGACGCCTTTGGTTTTGATTGTTTGTATCGCCTGACAGAGGTTTGTTTAGACGGCGATTTGTGTGATGTGACGCGCGGTGCGCGGGGCGCGGACGATGTCAGTGTCGCGTCTTCGCGAGTCTATGCTGTTGACGTTTCTTTCGGCGTCGTGTCTCTTAAGTGCGGTGGACACTTTTCCCAGCTATGTTTAGCGGCGTTTCGGAATCATATAATGTTCGCGGGCGTTGAGATTACAGCGTAGCTGCACGCTGGATATGGCCTTAGTGGCGCTCCCTTCGATCTCCTATCGCGGAGATTGGAATCGGGTCGGTGTATGCGGTGCGGCCGTCGGTCCTCGTACACGGTACCTTAGCCCTCGGAGTTTCCTTTATGAGTCAACGAGCTCGGCTCGTTCGGACGCAATTTCGGATGCGGCCAGCGGTACTGTGAAACTTATCTGTGTCGGCCTCACGAATCCGTGAGCCGACGGCGGAATGATTACAGTCGCTACGCGACGAACAGTAATCTGCCCGAAGCGGAGTATAGTCAAATGTCGATGACACGTATCCGTGCAACGACGGCGGAGTGACTACAGTCGCCAATCGACGAACAATAATCTGCCAGGAGCGGAGTAGAGTCGAATGTCGATGCCACGTATCCGTGCAACGACGGCGGAGTGACTACAGTCGCCAATCGACGAACAATAATCGGCCAGGAGCGGAATCGGTGTCTCTTAGAGCGGATAATCGGAATCGGATTCTCCTTCGAGAGCGGTGGATCGGTTCTGATTCTCTTTCGAGAGCGGATGACCGAATCTCTCGATTACAAAAACGCAGCGTTTTATATATTTCGAATCCCGCTTGATTCGCTATTTACCGCTGTTGTTCGGCGGTCGCGCTGTTTACTGTTTTGGAGGACGCGCTGTCCTCTTGCGTTTTCGGTTCGCGGTGTTCTGCGTTCCCTTGGTTTCGTGACGTAACGACATGCATCGTTACAAATATAACAGTAAAAAAATTACCGACCATTGGTAAGCCCCTTGCCTTGCGTGAAGTCATCCCCCGCGCCCGCAGTTCCCCACACCCTCGTTCAATGGACCCGAATTAGAACCCTTGTACTATACCTACTTTTTTGAGTAATAAAATTTAAAAGTTGCTGTACCATCGACATTAACATTACTCAAGATGTACTACATAGAGGTTGTTCGGTCGGATTTACATCTCTTTTGTATATGTGTGTGTATGTGTGTGTGAGTGTGTGTGTACACGCATGCGTGCGTGCGTACGTGTGTGGGTGTGATATGAAAGTCCTCAGTCCTTATCTATTCCGTAACTTATTATCATAAACAACTACCCAATTATCTATGCATCTATTCATGCACACGCACGCATACACGCACGTACACACATACACCCACACACATTCACATCCATAAACATCACACCCAACCACACACGCACATACACGAAAGAGATGTAAATCCAACTAAGCAACCTCTGCATGGTACACCTTGGATAATGTTAATGCCAGCGATACTATAACTTTCTAATTTCATTACTCAAAAAGTATTTAATGAAAAAATACGTTATTATAGTGTTTTGGAAAGTTCTCAAGATAAGCTACAAAAATATGCAATAAAAAGTATGAGGTTTCATTTAAAAAATTCAAGGTGACCTTGAAATAACCTTGACAGTGGTCGCCGAGATCAAAGTCAAAGTTACCTTCAGATATCTCCCTTCGAATCTTATAACTTTTGAAATATTTGAAAACTGAAATATTTTTTCTGAAAATGCTCTTTTGAAGAGACATTCCAGTGCGTTATTTAAAATGGGACATCCTGTATATGCATGTAACACTTATATTTATTACCATAGCACGAAGAGATAGAAATATAAAATAAATACGAAAAAGACCAAAACTTGTTCTTCAAAACAATATGCTATATAAAATATTATATGCTATATAAAAATCTAAATGTACTTTTAGTAATCTAAATATACTTTTTTAGTAAATCTGTTGCTACACATCAATATAACAAAAAAATTATATTATTGTGTATGTGCATTTAATGATATTACAATGATTCAATATACTTGTCAATACAGTATACTTGTCTCATAAATGGAATTTGAAGAATTGCAGTTTCTATCATTGATTATCTCACGTGATAATCATAAAAGTTTGAATATTTATGGAATGTATTTTAATCGCAAATTTCAAATCTCATTGTTCCACCTTTCTCGAATATTTAATTAATCTTGCTTACTTAATGAGAATGATGAAACATGAAAGTGACAGTTTGAGTTGCATTTTAGTAGAAATTAACAATTAATTTTAGTAGAAATGCTAGTAATAATAAAATTGAAATGTTACCGACTTACCTCTTCACCTTCCGAAAAAGTATAATTATAGTCGGATTGCGCACGCTGTTTAACATTGTCAGCAAAATCTTGGAATCGAGGACTGGTTGGTTGAAGAAGAGACACCCTCAACAAAGCCTCATAAGCCTTTCTGGCAGTGGTGTCGTCTTCGTCTCCCATTTCCCAGTCGTGATCGCCCCAATAAGAGCCCTTAAAATGATTTTATCGCTTTAACGTTGATAAAAAAATGAACAATGATCTACGATAGATTCGTTATCACATTGATAAACCGTCTTTTAGTGAATTTCCGTTCTTTATGATATCTTACTTGAAATATCTCAACGTCGAGAAAAGCCCAGTCCCCTCTTGTCATTCCTAATTCATGTGCGGCTAACATGAACTTTCTAACTAGAATTCCGCGAACGCTGAGTATCAGAACTGTTGAAAATTATCATCAGTTATTGTATCCATAATTAAGATCCGTAATATTGTTTTTAACATTGTGAATCTTACACGGAGAGAATTTTATAGTAAGAATTACTAGAGTTTAGTAACCGACGAACATCCCGTTGGGAATAGAACGTAAATCCACGTCGAATCAACGTAGACCATCCACGTGGATTCCACGTGGACGGTCAAGTCAACATCCACTCAATATTGGAATTCGAATCCACGTGGAATCAATGTTGATATTTCAACTCGATTTTTCTTCGCAGTTTCAACCTCAAATCAATAGATATTTCATTCCCTTGCATAAAATTTTTTACTCAAAAATATCATTTCGCATTCATGAAATTTTGTCGTGAATTCTGCTTAGCAACTTTTCAGTGCGATACTGGAAATAAAACATTAAAATCTTGTGCCTCTCCCATACAGCACAGTAATATTGAACCAATGTTAAAAAAAATGTTGAATTGCAACAATGTCAATATTGCAGTAACATTGAGAAACATTAAATTAACATTGCAGAAACCTTTATATAATGTAAAAATGTCCGCTTAAAAATTTTCCGCGTAGCTTTCATAAACAAAATTCCTAATTTTCTTATGTCTCATGACTTCTAGAAACCAAAGATTGTCAAATACACTTCAAAACTTTCGCAAATCCTCCCTCGATAATTCCGAAGCTGAAGCGATATATGCCGGTCACCATTCATGTTCTGAATACGTTAAAGTGTTGCTTAACCTGACAATCGAGCGATACGCGATAATTCCAAAGATTCCAACGATGTTTTTATAATTTATGTTTATACAGGGTGTCTCAGACATTCATAATGACTCTTTGTGAGAACGTAGAACGGATTGAGGTTAGCAAGAAAGTCCTGTGCCGTGCTACGTTGCGATATTCGCAATAGTTTTTGAGAAATTAATTATTTTGTCTCAGCCAATGAGAGCAGAGGAAGCGCCAGCCGAAAGAAAGATGTCTTCGGCCGGCGCGTGACCGTGATACACGCGATTCGCAACTCGGTACGTCCTTCTGTCCATAGTTACATAGAGACATAGCGAGGGCTTGATACACTAAGGCCCGGTTGCACCAACGTTATTTTGGCTTTAAGTGAGACTTAAATCTGTAAGTTTGTTGCACCAATGTATAAGCGACACTTATAGTGCTTTAAGTTGCACTATATTGAGCGATGATTCCAATATTGCTTAAGAAACTTTAAGGGACAGAAATCGTTGTTGTATCACACCATTGGTCGTATTGTCACTACTACGTATGTATATCGAAATTGGTGCGTGAAGCAATTAGTTTTAAAGTTTAACATTATAAGAAAGAAAGCAAGGACTATTCGCGAGTAATAACAAGTAATTATATTTAAACAACACAAATGGATATAAATTACGATGTGTTAGAAAACGAAGAATTGGACGCATACGATTTAATTGTTTATGAAATACCGCGAAATGTATACATGTGCGTTATAATTACTTTTTCAAAAAAAGTATAAAAAAGAAACCAAGTGCACGCGTGTTAGCATTATCTACTGAAAAATACAAGAAAATTTTATATTTTCTACAAAAGTAAAGATATCAAGAAGTTTACTCCAAGTACCCATGATTAATCATTTCAGTTTTTACTTTTATAAACATATGTGGTTTTCGCTATATAATATATTTATAAATTAAATATATTATTAATGTATTAGTAACATATTATTAAATAAAAATAAAATAATTATAGGAATACAATGATGTTAAAAAAAATTATAATAACTTACAATAATGTTGAAAAAAATTATAATAACACAAAATACACATGGCGTACTTTTCTTACAGTACTAACTTTTCTCACTGTACTAACGGTTCTCTTATTTCAATAATTATAAAAATATTATATTGATTATCGATGTAATATTTAAATAAAGCATGCCAAGTGCTTTTTGTGTAAGTTATTATAATTTTTGTTAACATTATTGTAAGTTATTATAATTTTTTTCATCATTATTGTAAGTTATTATAATTTTTTCAACATCATTGTATTCCTCTAATTATTTTATTTTTTATTTAATAATATGTTACTAATATAATAATATAATTATATAATTTAATTATATATTTAATAATATAATTATATAATTATATAATTTATAAGTATATTATATAGCCAAAACCACATATGTTTATAAAAGTAAAAACTGAATTGTAAGTTATTATAATTTTTTTCATCATTATTGTAAGTTATTATAATTTTTTTCAACATCATTGTATTCCTCTAATTATTTTATTTTTTATTTAATAATATGTTACTAATATAATAATATAATTATATAATTTAATTATATATTTAATAATATAATTATATAATTATATAATTTATAAGTATATTATATAGCCAAAACCACATATGTTTATAAAAGTAAAAACTGAATTGTAAGTTATTATAATTTTTTTCATCATTATTGTAAGTTATTATAATTTTTTTCAACATCATTGTATTCCTCTAATTATTTTATTTTTTATTTAATAATATGTTACTAATATAATAATATAATTATATAATTTAATTATATATTTAATAATATAATTATATAATTATATAATTTATAAATATATTATATAGCCAAAACCACATATGTTTATAAAAGTAAAAACTGAAATGATTAATCATTCGTTATTATAATTTTTTTCTACATCATTGTATTTCTCTAATCATTTTATTTTTTATTGAATAATATGTTACTAATATATTAATAATATATTTAATTTATAAATATATTATATAGTCAAAACCACACATGTTTATAAAAGTAAAAACTGAAATGATTAATCATTCGTTATTATAATTTTTTTCTACATCATTGTATTTCTCTAATCATTTTATTTTTTATTGAATAATATGTTACTAATATATTAATAATATATTTAATTTATAAATATATTATATAGTCAAAACCACACATGTTTATAAAAGTAAAAACTGAAATGATTAATCATTGGTACATGGCGTAAAACTTTTGATATCATTACTTTTATAAAATATTCTTGTATTTTTCAATAGATATTGTTAACGCGTGTACACTTGGCTTCTTTTTTTTACTTTCCTTGAAAAAGTAATTTTGTTTTTATTAGGTGTACAACTTTGCTTCCGCCGTTTTCCTATAAATGGCTTTAGCGGCAAGTGGTGGTCGAAATAAATAGATCATAGACGTCATACAATAAACTTGGGCATCTGTCAACATAACCCCATAGAAACATTAGTCGATTTGTGTCTGCATCATAAAGTCTCGATTGAAAATGTCAGTTTACGAGCCAAATTCTCGTCATTTGCGGGAGGTTTTAATTTTCTACTTCAATATGAAGAAATCTGCGGCTGAGGCTCATCGAATGCTCTCAAATACTTATGGTGAGGCCGCTATTAGTGAAAGAACGTATCGTGAGTGGTTTCAACGCTTCAAGAACGGTGATTTTGACGTCGAAGACCGGCATAGCAGTGGAAGAGAGAAGATTTTCGAAGATGTAGAATTGGCATTACTTGATCAAGACTCGTGTCAAAATCAAGAAGAATTGGCACGATCATTGGAAGTGACTCAACAAGCCATTTCAAAACGCCTTAAAAC